TTAATTAATTAATTAAATTAATCTAATACGTTGCTGAATGTTATTTCTATACGTATAAATAAAGTGATTGCAGTGAATCGAATGGCATTGACAAGGTCAGACGATCATCATTAATCACCCTACCTTTGTTGAAAATATCCCTCCTCGGATGGACTGGATGAAAGCAGCTTCAGTCTCTCCCAGCCCTCCTCCCTCTTCACCCACTCGTCTCCCGGACCTCTCCAGTCCTTCCCGATAAAAGGCATGCTGTTGTCTTGTCGAACGGAGAAGCGAGACGCAATCGTAAACAGAGCGAGCCGTATTGATCCCTACGCGCTCGCGCTCACAACTTTATACGCGTGCTAGTGTTTACGGATGTGACGTCACGCGACGTCATGATTGACGCGCGCTGGGAAATCGATTCGACAACGAGGCGGGTGAGTGCGCTGAGTGCGTTCGCGCGTTTCGTACTGCGCCGCAAATCGTTGCGTGGGCATGCAACGCGATGATAACGTCACGGGTCGTTTCGTGTACTAATAGTCACCCAATTCGAGCAATCGACTAAATATCACACGTCAGGGCGTCGTTATTTGAGGGGGATAGCACGCCGCAGGGGTGTGTGAGAGGGGCTATACGCATGTACGCATGATCATCGCACGAACCCAAGCGCACTCGTGGTGAAGTCATGTGCTCGGTATTGCGCAATAGGTGGTGGTAGCGCTGCACGCTGTGCCCTGCATGTTTATACTAGAACTACGGCAGGCGTTTTAAACCGCTCGTGGCCGCGGTACACGTGTTTCTCGCTTAAAAACTTTTATGTAGTATGTGATGAGAAGCACGCGCCCGACACACGACCGACCGTACTGAGGGATCACTGGATGTATACAAAGAAATATCTGCAATGCAACACCGCTGTATACGCACCTACACCTTCTCCTTCCTGTTAGGGGTATAGGAGCGATATTCTTATACGCCCGAAGAGCTCATGTTTTGACGTCGATAGGTTTATCATTGAATTCGCGATTTTGCGTTTAAAATCAATAGCACCCATCACCAGTGATGTTTGCTCGTGGAAAAAATATAGAGGGGAGATTCTTAGCATAATTTATTCATAGTTCCGTATTCCGACTGCGCCAGAGCCTAGAATCCCACCGTTTGTTTTTATTCACTCCCGATCAAATGATAGAGCGATTCAGCCTGCGATGTTGCATCTTGCTTTGTGCGAAAAATTCTGCGTTAGCAAAAGGACTTTACTCGATGCCAACGACCCCTATGAGCTGTAGCATATGGAATCACAAATCCCGTCTAAAGAAGGCCGTGCAGCAGGGGCAAGCCTATGTACACCAGGGGCAGCTGCAAGGCCTTTGTAAGTTTTACTGGAACCTCGCACGTGATATAACGCGCGCGGGTTCACCGTTCACGGGTGTAACGACCACCAGAGGAAGTGCAATGAGAGGACGACTGACTCACTAACACACGATAACATCAGCGAGCACTGTGATGCTGTCATTCGCATCGCTATTTCGTTCGTTTTATGAAGACTGGATATACAGTGACACCGAAAGTATTAGAGAATCAAGCTGATATTGGCCGCAGAGACATCGTTGGATGTAGTGATGAATATAAATCAAATAATGATACATAGATTACCCTGCCCGTGAAGCACCTCGCGTTAGCGCACTCTATATGTGTTTGACTAATCATGCGCAGCGATCTTTCGCGATTTTAATTAACATCTAGTGTGTAGTTGTTCTCCGTCTTTCGTGTGTTATTACGTACGCGTACGTTCGATTAATTCAATTAAGTGTGCATAATTCTTCATGCATTAAAATTATTCGTCTATATTTGAATACTATGTGCACGTCAGGGTAGGTGCGATCGTTTTACTTTCTTTGGGTACGCGTCTGTGGGCCGATGACAAAATTGCTGTACTGTAATGTATGCACCGTAATAATGCACGTACGGCATGATACGGCAATGTATGAGCAGAACGCGGCCACCATTTTTCTGAATTTATCATCACACTACCGTGTCAATAGAATTGGTGCGGTCGATGAGTGCAATAATAATCTCGAACAAAAAGTATAAAAGAACAAGATGGATATATAATTGTAAATATTTGAGCTGGGTGACAAACAAGTAATATACTCGGTGAAAAAGTTGAAAAAAACAATATGGATATATAATTGTAAATATTTATCTACATCTATTTGAAAATAAACAAGATAATCTCAACTATGTGGAAACTACAGGAAAGCTCATTATAACGATTACATCCAAAAGCATGAAGCAAACATGTCGTTTCGCGATACACCGTGTAAATTGCTCAGCCAAAACATTTATACGTGATAAGGTTGTTTTTTGCTGTTTATATGAATAATTTTCATGGGTTTCCACTGATTACTAAACGATCACTCACTCCACGGCACCTGCAGCCAACAGTTACTACATAACCCCGACTGGTAATCACGTGACGACTGGTAATTTCCATGAAGCAATATATGTGGCACTGAGCTGAACATATATTAACAGTACGTATTTAATAAAAACAAGTGATACAGTGGTACGCAATAATACGTACCACTGTTACTATATACAGCTCAGTGATATGTACTAATTTGCGAGAGCCGCACATCGCAGTGTCTGGCAGCAGTTTTGACTACACGCCCGCGTCAGAAACCGGCACGAGACATCGCGAGAACTCTGGCAATGCGTAAAACTGCCTGCTGTCAGTTAGTTATTAGATGGTGGGCAAGCTTGGATAGTACGACAGACCTAGCCACCTCCCTGAAACAAACATCATGTCACGTACGAAACGTTGTAACAGACAGATATATACGTACAGACCAACATTATTAACTCCTGCTTAACTATGTAAACAGATAGATAAATACATATACAGACCAACATAAATATCTCCTGCTTAACGATGTAAACAGGGAGATTGACACGCAGAAACCAACATCATTGACTCGACCGCAAAACCGGATAAACAGGGGGTCGTTCGTTGACAGAAACATTTTAGCATCGCACAATTATTCTTCCTTGCAACTTTTTTTGCTGCATGTTTGAAAAAAGCATTTACCATTACCGTAGCACCATGACGCCACTGTCAGCCGCTGACCATATGGACCATATGGATATCAACCAGATAGATAGATATCGATCAGATAGATTGATATCAATTAGATATACAGATATCAATCAGATATACAGATATCGATTAGATATCCAGATATCAATCAGATATACAGATATCGATTAGATATCCAGATATCAATCAGATATATAGATATCAATCAGATAAATAGATATCGATTAGATAGACAGATGTCAAACAGATAGACGGCCTTATATCCTATCGGGGGACCAAAAGGATAAAGAAAAAAAGATAATCAGATAGACAATATCGACTGGATAGATATATACCGACTGGAAAAAAAGATAGATATCGACCGGAGAGACAGATATCGACCCGACAGCTAAATATCGACCAGATAGATAGATAGATGGATATGGATGTCGGCCCACACCTACAGACGCGTGATGAGACCGTCGACGACGTGCACGACTCCGTTGCTAGCGACGCGGTCGCACTGCGTCACGCGCACGATCTCGTTGACGACGACGCGGCCGGCGTCGCCGAGCGTGCGATAGACGCGCAGCCGCGGCCCGCCGACGGTCGCGTGCTGCACGCCCGAGCCGCATGTCCACAGGTTGTTGAAGACGCCCGCGCAGCACAGGTGCTCTGAAATGTGTGCAACGTGATGCGGTAATAGAATGTAACACGGAATTCAGAATGCGATGTAGATTTAGGATATATGTGTGTATATATATATATATATATATATAGAGAGAGAGAGAGAAAGAGAGAGAAAGAGAAAGATAGAGAGAGAGGGGGAGGGAGGGAGGGGGAGGGAGGGAGGGGGAGGGAGAGAGGGAGTGAGAGAGAGAAACGAGAGAGAGGAAGGAGGGAGGGCAGGAGGAGAGAGGCAGGAATGGTGGGAGGAAACGAAGGAGGAAGGGAAGGAGAGAGGAGAGAGAGAAAGAGGAAGAGACGGAGAGAGAGAGAGTGTGGTACGATATAGATTTAGAATCAAGCAGGGATAACACTTGTGATATACTTGTGAGCATTACCCTCTCTTTATAGAAGAGAAATAGATATAGATTATTGTTCCCATGCACACACCACACTATTGGGGATAACAGTTGCTAACACAAAGAGAATGTCATTGGGATAGCCATTGTTTATGAACATGAAATCACTGCCGATTCTGTTCCTATGCTTAGATATCGTTATAAGGACTATTACTTGGGCAGGGGCGTGTACAGGATTTGTACCAGGGGGTGGTCTAACCGTAACCCAAACTTGCAAGCACGCGAAGGGGGTGTGTGGGGGCCCTCCCCCAGAATTTTTTTGAAATTAGACTCCCTTAGATGCTCTTTCTGCGCGAGCAGGGGGGGTCCAGACCCCCTGGACCCCCCCCCCCCTGTACACGCCCCTGTTGGGGATACCTACAACATTACCGATTGCTACAAATATTGCTAACACATGCAAGTTGTCATGAACATGCATGCTTATCAGTTGGACCAAAGTATTACGTGTGGTCTATTCTATTGATTAATTTGCGCATATGATCGCGCTGAACCACTCGTGTCATTGGTACCCACCAGGTAAAATATGAAGAGCCAGAACTTGCTGCATAAGGAAGCTGTCCTTGCGCAGGTGAGGCAACTGCTCCGTGATTGCATCGTTAGTGGGAGCGAAAAAGGTGAAGCCAGTGTCGGACGACAGATGATCGAGAAGTCCTGCTTCCTCCATCAGCTCCAGGATAATCGAAAAGCTGCTGTTACTCCTCAGCATGTCGAGGACAGTGCCATCTGTTGGGGGCATCAGCACCTACACGTATAAAAATCGAGAGATAAGATCAGGAGTGAATAATAGAGATTATATATTCACTCTATTATTCTATTATTCTCTCCTGATAAGATTCATTCATTAATTTATACAACGGCATTACACGTGAGGACGTTTACAGTTATATTGATGAACAAAGTGTCAGTAAGAACCATCAAAGCTATGAGTTTATGTAAGTAATGTATATTGCACAGTTACATGAATGGTGTAGCAGACATGTCATTTTACGTGAAATTGGAGGGTCAAAATGTTCAGACACATACAGCACGAAAAAAGAAGGTTTATAACACGTGGTATTTCGATTTATATTTAAATTCTGTTTTTGGCTCATCATGGTACGATAGCAGCTGTTGAATAATCACAGACATATCTGTTATTATTCACCCCTGACAATATATATATAGTATAGCAATTAGTGTAGGAAGTCTGCCAAATATACAATCTCTTGCTAAACTTTAATATTAGACTACAATGTGTAATACTACCTTGTCAATGATATGCACGGCAGCTCCACATGTCATTAGGTCAGACTGGACAACTTTAGCGCACTGCACAGTTGTCACTGCATTGTCATCAAACCAACACTGTAAATATCAAGCATTACATACAATTAAACAAGTTCGCTACTCATCGAGAAACTAAATAACGTCTAGCAACGGATGCACGACGAGGGAACACAGTTACTTAGTATTCAGAGTATTTCTAACACGTGAATTTAGCATTTTATAACCAGTAAATAAACAAACATAGGATCGAATGTTTCGTCATAGCATCAAATGGCATCGCGAATGGCACCTGCTTGTATTTGTTGATGAGTAGCTTCTTATCGCTATCCACCACAGGCAGTAGCTGATTATTACTCATCTCGCCCACGCTCAGGCTCTCCGTCGTCACGTGACCCCTGATGACCTCCACAAGCGATTTCCGATCTCTGAGTCTCTCGTAGTCAGCGGGACTCAGACCCTGTGGTTCGGTCGCACAAAAACAACACAGCAATCATAATTTTTACGCGTCATAAGTGAGGCGTAGCTAACCCATTTTCTCACGGGGAGGGGGCAAGCCATGTGCAGGTTGTGTTCTGGGCAGGTGACCGTGGGCCATTCGCCATTGACCATGTAACAGCATCTACATTTCTCTGGGGGAAAAATGCCCCTCTTGCCACCCCTCCACCATGCTAGCTATATACAGCCCTTAATAGGACATAACATCAAGTACTACTGCTTGAGAACATATGGATGTAACCTTTAACATGGATTTCCCGGTTCAAGAGATAAAATGTCGGTGCATTAGCTTGTCTGTGTGTTATTCATAAATATTTTCTTTTTGTACAAAATGTAGAGGGAACTAATTTATAACAATCGTGGCTTTTCGTTATAAGACACGATTCCTTTCTACGTGCTCCCTCAATTGATTGTGAAAACATACTTGAAATACTAATAAATTTACATATGGCATGCAATGTGGATTATTACTCACATGCATGATAAGCTTACACTACTTGCCACACTGCCACAGTTACTTGACGTTTGTTTAATCATAGACACTGGCCTACAGGTCTTTGGGAAATTATCTATGGTTTAATCGAGATCCTACCACTATATCTTTTGCTCATGCTCGTGTCTATAACACACCTGGAAAGCCTCGTCACTTGGAACGAAGAACGTCACATTTCTGAGGTCATTGATCTCTTCCTCCAGCCGTGCGTTTCTGATGACTTGCACAACCTCCTCCTCCCCCCTTCGCTCCAGTAGTCCAACGATTGAGAGGGCTGCCAACAGGTGCGGGCAAATGGACATTGTTAAAGGGTGACATGACCTATAGCTTCCTTGCATATTTTCAGTGAAAATAGGTTTAAACTACGCTACCTAAAAAATTGCATGGTTCAATATTCATTAGAAATATTTCTTAAGAACGTTTTAAAACTGACAGCTACCGTTTGATTACAACACCGGTGGCAGGGCAGTGACGTGTATCACACGAAAACAGCCAGAATATCAGATGAGATCAATTAACTTCCGCACAGATACACACGCACGCACACACAGACATGCACACACGCGCACTCACACATGCACACACAATCATACGCATGCACGTGCAGCACAGCACGCGGCCACCAAGCATACACCCCTCTTCACAATGCCGCGACGGCACCGCGACGCACGCATAAGCACAAGACACACACCATTCAGCATACACACACACACACAACAAAACACACAACACACTAAGGCACCACGCACGGCACACACCACATTACACACAGCACACCCACACGCACGCACGCAACGCAACGCACGCACGGCACGCCAGCACGCACGGCACGCACGCACGCATGCACGCACGCACGCACGCACGCACGCACGCACACACAACACACACACACACCACACACCAACTCCTTACACCCACGGCGGTGATCACCAGCGTACGTCGTTGGTGAACGAGGACCTTGTCAACGTAGTGTATGACGCGTTGGTGTGCCTATGACGTCAGCGCGCTGTTCACCTGCGCGTCCGTCGCACAAACCAGCTTGCCGTCGTCGTGCGGTTGAGCGTCACGCTTTGTCGCCTGCTGTCCAGCGTGCGCATACGACCTCGATGACGCCGCGAGCAGATGACGTTGGCGGAAGCAGGTGGTGCATCAACACACCTGCAGCGATTGTCACGACGCGTTATTGTACCACTGCTGCTCCTATATTATTATTATTATTATTATTTTCCAAAGCGGATCACGGCATTAGCCGTGGCTTCTGGGTTGCGCCGTGTCCCAACCGGGGACATAGGGATTTCAATCCAGAATTTCCAGGATGTGTGCTGTTCTTCTTCTTCTTCTTCTTCTTCTATTATATATATTATTATACTGTTGCTATATACTATTATCATCATTATTATGCTTATTCATTATTATTATTATTATTATATAACAGTTTTTCTTGTATGTGAATAAATCGATGGTATAGCTTACACGAGATCTAAATTCCATGTGATCTAGAATTAAATATAGAAATATGAGTAAACGAAGAAAAAGTGTAGATGCATAAGGAAATTGTATTAGCGAACCAGAAGTAAGTGTGAACATTTGCGGGAAAACTGCATACGTTTTAGCATGTAGGATCATTTGTTAATTGGCTCTTGAGTTCTGGCTCCAACTGCATGATGGCAAGAGTTGGTCGGGGCCTAGTAGGGTCCACTGTCCGTCATTGTGGCAGATCCCTGTACTAAGTCCGTCTGCGAAACCCCATCAAAAAAAGCAACTCAACTTCACTAAAGAACAAATTCGTCAGTAATATGTGTATTTCATACTTAACTATAAATGCCTCTCCTATAAAACGCTATACAGTTGTTGCCTGCATACTCCACAAATTATCGCCAGCTCAATAAGTAAATCATTCGATTACTAAAAAATTCTATTGAAAAAATTTAAAAGACTATACATGCTTAAGAACGCATAATGTGCTGATGTGCCAACCTACAAAAATTTGGAGATTTTTCCCACACATAGCCATGTTTTGCAATGACATATCCAGCCTTTCATCATTGTGGTCGCCAGATTAAAATACTGTAATGCATCAAAGGTCTATAAGAGCAATATCAGAGTCGAAATATTGGTGTTATAGTGATTACCATAATGATTCTAGCATGTATTACCATTATATTACAATATTAATATTGAGTATATATATAATATATATTATAATATATATATATATATATATATATATATATATATATATATATAGTATAATACATACACACATATAAATTTTCCTAATATTTATTATTATTAGAATATATATACAGGGTGTGAAATTAACGCGAGTCAGGAGTCAAATACTCCCCGATTTACTGTCGGACTCCCTGATTTGACATATGAAGGAGTCCGTGTGACTCTGAGAATTCTGCTATACTAACTAGTTTGTTCCAGAGCACGGCCACGCGGAATTACCGTATTTTTTCATCAAATGTCCAAAGAAAATTTGGCAGACGTGTAACCGCACGAATCTTCAAACTAAGCACATGCTTTATTGTTAATATATTTAATTTTGAACTTCAGACTACGGACTCCCTCATTTTGCTGCAGACTCCCTCTTTTTGAGGGCAGGGAGTCCGTTGGACTCCCTTGTTCAAAAGTTAATTTCTACCCCTGTATATATATATATACATATTGCTTACATGACTTGAGCATGCTGAACTGGGCATCCTTGCTAATCACGTCCATGATAGTGAGCACCGGTGCGGCCATGACCTTCTCCAGAACATGGACGACCCCGTTGACGGCCATGTTGTCCACTGAAGTTACGCGCACACAGTTGGCAAGCAGAAGCTGCAAAATATCCATTAGCCACGTGTAGGGATATAAGAGGAATGTATGATAGAGAGATAGTAGAGCACACAGATGAACAGATGCACGCACGCACGCACGCACGCACGCACGCACGCACGCACACAGACACGCCCCACACAATCTGACACACACCCTGCTTCCGCTGCGGCTCCGGTAGATGTTAACTCTCAGCTTGTGGCCAGCCTCCGTGAGTATCGTCTGTTCATCCGCCATACCCGACGACCTCACGACCCCAGTCACGACGTGACCCTTCAGTATCGCGTGCGTGTCAGCCTGGCCTTCCTCTTCCTTCTCATCCACTGTCTGTAGGCGCTCCTATGAGGCACAGAAATATACAAAAGACATCAATATCAGAGATATCAGGCAGAGGTATTGATCCCCACCAGATCGTACATCGACGGAATTTAATCTCGTATTAAAGTTACCACGAACATATATACGCTTGCATGCTGGTATACAGTACATGTATTGCACTACTAGCATACATATGTTCATGACGTTTATATCAACTATTATATGCTGCTATCATTTAATATCAACTACTATTATATTATACTATAACTACAACTACAACTACTATACTATACTATACTATACTATACTATATTATACTATAACTACAACTACTATTATACTATAATCATCAACTATTATATGCTGCTATCATTTAATATGTCAATATTCCATTGCTGTTTCGGTTAATTTCCCGTCTATGTGGCATGGTTTTAAACTAATTTAATGTCTATGTACCATCGCGTGGAATTCCTGTATAGCTTCGTTTGTCGGCGCGAATAGTGTAACGTTCTCGTTGACCAACATGTCCGACAATTCCAAATGACCGAGCACTTCAACGAAGTTGGTTAGTCCAAGATCAGTAGCCACTTCCTCCACACTCTTCAGCTCTAACACTGCAAGGAATACACAATATACGATGAGAAAGAGATGTTACGTGCCAGCAGTAACATCTAAATTGTCCTACATGATAATTATTTTTGTTAGCTATCACGCCTGCTGCTGTAACTTAACTCCAAATATCAACATTTAGGACAACCAGACGACGTTGAACTTCATTCAGAGCTTGGGTTAACAAACGATAAAGCGACTCACTCTGTATACATCCGTCTGCACCAGGCTGATGCTCGTACCCTGGACAACACTGATAGATGATTCTATAAATTTTTGTCAGTCCGTACACACTCACCCTGGCAAGAAAAAACAAAGTGCGCATTCTAAATTGCTATTGCACTTTGAATTCGATGATGTAGATGCATCTACATGAACATGATACGAGACATAGATGCATGAAGTGATCACCAGCGTACCGTCGTTGGGAACGAGGACCTTGTCAACGTAGTGTATGACGCCGTTCGTTGCCATGACGTCAGCGGCTGTCACCTGCGCGTCGTCGACAAACAGCTTGCCGTCGTCGGTGCGGTTGAGCGTCACGCGTTGTCGCCTGCTGTCCAGCGTGCGCATACGACCCTCGATGACGCCGGAACAGATGACGTTGGGAAGCAGGTGGTGCATCAACACACCTGCAGCGATTGTCACCGACGGTTATTGTACCACTGCTGCTCGTATTATTATTATTATTATTATTATTATTTCCAAATGGGATCACGGCATTAGCCGGTGGCTTCTTGGTTGGCCGTGTCCCAACCGGGGACATAGGGATTCAATCCAGAATTTTTCGCAGGATGTGTGCTGTTCTTCTTCTTCTTCTTCTTCTTCTTATTATTATTATTATTATTATACTGTTGCTATTACTATTATCATCATTATTATTGTTATTATTATTATTATTATTATTATTATTATTATTAACAGTTTTTCTTGTATGTGAATAAATCGATGGTAGAGCTTACACGAGATCTAAGCTCCATGTGATCTTAGAATTAAATATAGAAATATGAGGTAAAACGAAGAAAAAGTGTAGATGCATAAGGAAATTGTATTAGCTGAACCAGAGTAAGTGTGAACATTTGCGGTGAGAAACTGCATACGTTTTAGGCATGTAGGATCATTTGTTAATTGCCTCTTGAGTTCTGGCTCCAACTGCATGATGGCAGAGTTGGTCGGGGCTAGTAGGGTCCACTGTCCGTCATTGTGCAGATCCTGTACTAAGTCCGTCTGCGAAACCCCTGATAACAAAAAGCAACTTTCACTAAAGAACAAATTCGTCAGTAATATGTGTATATTCATACTTAACTATAAATGCCTCTCCTATAAACGCTATACAGGTTGTTTGCCTGCATACTCCACAAATTTATCGCCAGGCTCAAATAAGTAAAATCATTCGATTACTAAAAAATTCTATTGAAAAAATGTTAAAAGACTATACATGCTTATAAACGCATAATGTGCTGATGTGCCAACTACAAAAATTTGGAGATTTTTTCCCACACATAGCCATGTTTTGCAATGACATATCCAGCCTTTCATCATTGTGGTTGCAGATTAAAATACTGTAATGCATCAAAGGTCTATAAAGATCAATATCAGAGTCGAAATATTGGTGTTATAGTGATTACGATAATGAATTCTAGCATGTATTAACATTATATTACAATATTAATATTGAGTATATATATAATATATATCATATATATATATATAGTATATATATATATATATATATATATATTAGTATAATACATACACACATATAAATTTTCCTAATATTTATTATTATTAGAATATATATACAGGGTGTGAATTAACGCGAGTCAGGAGTCAATACTCCCCGATTTACTGTCGGACTCCCTGATTTGACATATGAAGGAGTCCGTGTGACTCTGAGAATTCTGCTATACTAACTAGTTTGTTCGCAGGCACGGCCACGCGGATTACCGTATTTTTTCATCAAATGTCAAAGAAAATTTGGCAGACGTGTAACCGCACGAATCTTCAAATAAGCACATGCTTTATTGTTAATATATTTAATTTTGAACTTCAGACTACGGACTCCTCATTTTGCTGCAGACTCCCTCTTTTTTGAGGCAGGAGTCGCGTCGACTGACTCCTTGTTCAAGCAGTTAATTTCTACCCCTGTATATATATATATACATATTGCTTACATGACTTGAGCATGCTGAACTGGCATCCTTGCTAATCACGTCCATGATAGTGAGCACGGCGTCGGCCATGACCTTCTCCAGAACATGGACCGACCCCGTTGACGCCATGTTGTCCACTGAAGTTACGCGGCACACAGTTGCAAGCAGAAGCTGCAAAATATCCATTAGCCACGTGTAGCGATAATAAGAGGAATGTATGATAGAGAGATAGTAGAGCACCAGATGAACAGATGCACGCACGCACGCACGCACGCACGCACGCACGCACGCACGCACGCACGCACACAGACACGCCCCACACAATCTGACACACACCCTGCTTCGCTGCGGCTCCGTAGATGTTAACTCTCAGCTTGTGGCACAGCCTCCGTGAGTATCGTCTGTTCATCGCCATACCCGACGACCTCACGACCCCAGTCACGACGTGACCCTTCAGTATCGCGTGCGTGTCAGCCTGGCCTTCCTCTTCCTTACTCATCCACTGTCTGTAGGCGCTCTATGAGGCACAGAAATATACAAAAGACATCAATATCAGAGATATCAGGCAGAGGTATTGATCCCCACCAGATCGTACATCGACGGAATTTAATCTGCTATTAAAGTTACCACGAACATATATACGCTTGCATGCTGGTATACAGTACAGTGTATTGCAGCTACTAGCATACATATGTTCATGACGTTTTATATCAACTATTATATGCTGCTATCATTTAATTATCAACTACTATTATCTTACTATAATTTGGCGAATGTTGTATGTATGTATTTATGTATGTTAATGAAAGGCTCCGTCAGTTTGGATCAAATAGCGCCAAATTCACAGAAGAGGTCGATGAGTACACGGACGGTTCTAAACTATACTCGGTTGAAAACCGTTTGTTCGGTCTTAAAAAAGCAAAAAAAAACTAAAAAGATAAAGATTTGCCTGAAAATAGGGGGCGCTGTTTTGTTTCGTTTTGTTCTGTGTATTGTTTGTTCCCTGTGTGTGTGTCTGAGATTTTTGTAAGCCCAATAATGTAAGTAGAACGAACCATGTAATAAATCAAGTGAAATATTCAGTAGCTATTTCGCATAGTTTCCCATATGAGATGTACAAGTTGAATTTCATCAGCGCAGAATTATTTTTTGCGAAGTCTGCAATGCTGTACAGTGTACGCCAGTACGGGTGTCTTCAACAGCGAGCTGTCACAAGCCGGTCGATCACAAGCAGTAATATTACGTCGTCCCCAACAGAGAAAACATGCAAACATGCAAACATGCGTAGAAATAAGCGATCACAACCAAGCAATATTACCTGGTCTGCACACAGTGGAAATGCGAAGCACGTAATATTACGTGCTACGCGGCCAAGTGGTTAATCAGTCGCCCGACCTACCAGCCCATTCAGATCTATCTATATTCTAACTTGAGTCCGTATCATCAACCAGTAGTTCCTACCTAGCATACAATAAAACATTTGTGTGTGTGTTGGCGTGCGTGCGTGCGTGGGGTCTATATTTCACTGTGTGCTTGCCAAACAAATGGTTAATGTGTTACGTGTAAGCATGATTGTACATGTATTTGTATTGACATCTCAACCATAAAAAACAAACATGTGCAACAACTAAACTCCATATAACACCTTACACATAACACTACTGTACTGTAACACGTCATGCATCACAGTTACTAAGCCCGCGCGTAGCGCGGGTTTCAGCTAGTATTTATACTATAACTACAACTACAACTACTACTACTATACTATACTATACTATACTATACTATACTATACTATACTATACTATACTATACTATACTATATTATACTATAACTACAACTACTATTATACTATAATCATCAACTATTATATGCTGCTATCATTTATATATGTCAATATTCCATTGCTGTTTCGGTTAATTTCCCGTCTATGTGGCATGGTTTTTAACTAATTTAATGTCTATGTACCATCGCGTGGAGATTCCTGTATAGCTTCGTTTGTCGGCCGCGAATAGTGTAACGTTCTCGTAGACCAACATGTCGACAATTCCAAATGACGAGCACTTCAACGAAGTTGGTTAGTCCAAGATCAGTAGCCACTTCCTCCACACTCTTCAGCTCTAACACTGCAAGGAATACACAATATACGATGAGAAAGAGATGTTACGTGCCAGCAGTAACATCTAAATTGTCCTACATGATAATTATTGTTGTTAGCTATCACGCCTGCTGCTGTAACTTAACTCCAAATTATCAACATTTAGGACAACCAGACGACGTTGAAGCTTCATTCAGAGCTTGGGGTAACAAACGATAAAGCGACTCACTCTGTACATACATCGTCTGCACCAGGCTGATGCCTCCGTACCCTGGACAACACTGCATAGATGATTCTATAAATTTTTGTCAGTCCGTACACACTCACCCTGGCAAGAAAAAACAAAGTGGCCATTCTAAATTGCTATTTGCACTTTGAATTCGATGATGTAGATGCATCTACATGAACATGATACGAGACATAGATGCATGACTGGATGGATGGATAGATGGATAGATTGGTGGATTGATGGATGGATTGGTGGCTGGATGGATGGATGGATGGATGGATGGATGGATGGATGGATGGATGGATGGATGCATGGATGCATGGATGCATGGATGCATGGATGGATGGATGGATAGATGGATGGATGGATGCATGCATGCATGGATAGATGGATGAACGGATGGACAGACGGACTGAGGGATGGGCGGGCAAATGGCTGGATGGATGGATGAATGCATGCATGCATGGATAGATGGACGGACGGATGGATGGACGGACTGAAGGATGGGTGGGCAGATGGATGGATGAATGGATGCATGCATGCATGGATAGATGGACGGATGGATGGATGGATGCATGCATGCATGCATGGATAGATGGACGGATGGATGGATGGATGGACTAAGGGATGGGCGGGCAGATGGATGGATGGATGGATGCATGCATGCATGGATGGATGGATGGACAGATGGATGGATGGACTGAGGGACGGGCGGGCAGATAGATAGATGGATGAATCGATGCATGCATGCATGTATGGATGGATGGAGAGAGAGATGCGACGCGATGACCACCTCACTTACCTGGTTGTGCATCTATAGACATCGTCCAGTTCCTCACAGCGGGATGACGTCATCGACACCTGCACGGAACCTGGGTTACCAGAGGATGTGACGTCAGGGGAGTCGGTTTCATTGAGCGACTCTCTCGTTACGCACACATTCTCGCTGCCAATCAAAAAACAATCAGGCCACATAATATATAATATATAACATATAATATACGGTATCCGATAACACCCGTAGAACATGCTGTTATGAGTGGTTTCGACATATTGTCCGCACATCATTTCTTCTGTCACATTTCGTAGGAGTTCGAATGCTGCCTCTGTTACTACTGATCTATTCGTTACCAGCTATCACCCACTCAAAGGTGTCATTCTCAATCATTTTATACTTTTGAAATATTTCTTCCTTGAGTTTACTACGTGTGGACTAGGATGCTGTTACATAAAGAAAATGTTAAAAAAAATCTTACTCTTCCCACCAGTTGACTACATCTATTAGATCCATATCTGGGAAAACCATTCCCCAGGTATCATTGTAAAGGCCATCAAAGGTTTCACCGAGCTGTGTTCTTGTCTGTCTGATTCTATTCATGATCTGCGTCCAGGGGTGTTGCCTGTGTGACTGGCGATGACCTCTAAATCTCCTTCCTGGTGACCTGAAAACAAGTTTTAAAAAAAGCAAATTCTATAGCATACATGCAAAATAATAGCCAAGTTACTTAAACATTCACATTATACAATACGCACACAAACGACCTCTCTCCCTCCACTAAATACGAAAGGCTTGTCTATTAGAAATGTCTATTATGTAGGTATATTTTCGTTCATGTTAGAATAGTTTCATGTGCGTCAGGTTGAAATGACATACCGGCGGGACGTATCATCGTGTGGCCCCTCATCAGACCAATATTCCTGGTCATTATACTGATCATTATGCACCCTCATCCTCCTGTTAATTAATAATAACCAAGCTAAAAACTGTTGCCAGGGCTCATGACTAACTTGCTGTAATTTGGTAATACCTTGGTTAAATTGCTAAATTGCACCTTTCCCTAATGTAGGTACACCAGTGCTTTAACATCACAACCCGACCTATAATTCTCCTACTGATGTTAAAATATTGACTGAACTTATTCAATTAATTGACATACCGGGGACGTCGCAACCCTCTGCGGTGATAGCCATCATAACCATCGTCATCATCATACTGATCATGACGTCTATTGTTACCCCTGCAAGGTGAAAATATCAATTACTGTATAATTATTATTATTATAATTATTATTATTATTCATATTTAAGTAACAAGTTCCCATGCTAGAAAGCATGCAGACAACTGTCACTTGCCAAAAGAATTGTTGGTACATTTTTTAGACAAAAACTAGCAAATAATTTTTTACTGTTCCTGTTTAACCCTTATGGTGAAATTGCTATCACTTTTTGAGGAACTCCATCTATACAGACCCCTTACTTCACTATATAGACATAAACCCTATAAATTTATAAATTATAGTTATACATATACTTCACCATCATAACATTATATATCATTACCTAATTTTAATTCTTAACAATAACAATACCATATGTAGTTTTTGTTTGTTATGCAGGACGGCATCCTCTTGTATATAGACATACAACGCGTACAATTTTCCCTGCAAATGCTAAAATCTTTGTCTATTAGGTTTAAAAAAGTCTTCATCGCCATGATGGGACATACCAGCGCCTGTGTGATAGTCCGTGACGAGATGGGTCGCGATGCGGCCATTCAACCTCATCGTGGCCATCCTCGTGGCCATCATCGTGGCCATCATCATGAAACCCAGATACATCCCTGTTAATAATTAATAACAATCATTATTATTGCAGTAAGTCACACATTAAAGGGTCACAGTAATATTTCGTCACTGCAACAATTATGCTTATTGTTTTTTTCCCCTCGAAAACTAGCTCAAAACTCCTTAACATTCACGTTTACTTTTATGGTAAAACTGCTGTACATTTCAAGATAGTCTATCAGACATCCCCCTCCCTTTACCGGCATTTTACAAATCATGCATTTCAGAATAAAACGATTGTAACACAAGTTCCATAAAGAGAATCATAATTTTAATCATGTAGGCCTACTATTGATTTAAATTATATATTAATCACACATGGGGGTATATGAAAGGTGAATTAGTAAATGATTGACTAGTAGATAAATATAATAAATAATCACCAGAACCCCCCTTATGCACAATTATGAATACACGCCAGCATGAGTGTACTCTTTAACGATGTAATGCAGGAAAGGAAGTTTGAAATAAGAATCTGTACATGTAGCCCTAAAAAAATGTCAATGATGCCCACTGAGCAGTGCTGTCATCTAGCACAAACACTGTTTTTGCCACGATGTGTGACGAAAGGTTTGAACCGGTGGACGAAAACAGTATATAAGACATGGCAAAGCATATAGGGATATCAAAAACACGGAAAATGTAAAATTCCCTACCATAATAGGTGCCACTGGTAATTGGTGTTGATTTGGTAGGACAATGGATTATCCACAAGGATTTTTTGCAAGGTCTATCTATCTTGATTATGATTGTATATAGAAAAACATGATTAGGGATGAGGGTTATTAAATGTTTAATGTAACGTTTGAGTTCATGTTTATTGAGTTTGCTTATAATAAATTATGAGTAGAAAAGTCAACTAAGGATAGTACGTCGATTTCATCTTGTTCAATTTTGGCGTATCAAAATCCTACATCCCTGGTAATATTGCTGATAGGGTACGTCTATGTCCCCCAGGGTACTATCAGAGGGTACCCTGATTACGGTTCGATATATCAGAAAGTACCTCGGGGATCTATATGATATGTCGCTGCGTACCCTGCATTGTCCCACCGTACCCCGACTTATTTCCGATGTTGTAAAACTGAAATATAAAAGCTAGCTCTTCGTTTAAAAAAGAAAAAAGAAAAATATAGTCAAACATAGCATACATTTTTATTGGATTGCGATGTTTTGAGGTTTCTTCTATGTGATGTGGTAACTTGACAGAGTGTATGTATTATGACATCAGTTGGCTGAAAGTCAGGGTACGGTGGGACAATGCAGGGTACGCAGCGACATATCGTATAGTACCCCGATGTACTTTCTGATATATCGAACCGTACCCAGGGTACCCTCCGATAGTACCTTGGGAGACATAACCCCTATCAGCGATAATATTCACTCCTGAGTTTACCTATATAAAAACAATTATAGCCTGGTTGCTCGGACAAATTGATTGTCTTGTCCACAAAACTCCATATTGCTTTCACAATCAGGCAATAATTGGATAATGTAATGTATATAGATAATATCAGGAGTGTATGATTATATAAGAATATACCAGGAGTGTATGATGATGACAATAGATGATATAAGCCACGTTCACATGGAGCACTTTGACCCGGGTTGAAAACGACCCGAGCCAATCGTTCACACGGACGTTTTCTCGGTACGAAAACAACCCGTGTCATTTCGACCCGGGTCGTTTTCACACCCACTAAATCAACCCGAGCGCTGGTTCATGCGCTGTGAACGCGCACCGACACATGACCCGGGTCAGAATTAGTATGGCGGTAGACGTCGCCAGTGTCGAGAGCCAGTTTGCACAGAGTTGCTGTGCATTAATTGTTTAATTCGAATTGTTCGTTTGCTTGTTCGCTTGAACGCATTGTTTCATTTTCAACTCGAAGCACGCAGCTAGCTCACATATAGCATAGAGGCATGTCCTAGAACTGACCGATCAAACGTCGTGTGAACGCTCTCTTCAAAATTGACCGGTGTCGTTTTTGATCCGGGTCAGTCTCGAATCGTTTTCGACCCGGCGTTTTCGCTCCGTGTGAACGCGGCTATAATATAGTAATAGTCTGATAATATAGTATTACTGTAATTGTATAGATATATTCATGATATTAATGTCTACTGATACATTAATACCATTAGAATTTTTGGTTTTATAACCATGTCATGACTTCTAATCACTAACATTAGTGTTGGAGATCGGTCCAAATTTCATGATCGATCATCGGTTTTACCAAACAACCGATGATCGACTAATCATCGATTATTTTAGATTGCGGCGACGACGCGGTGAAGCCGTGTCATCATCGACACAACCGGTGTATTGCGAAGGAATATTGACATTTATTGTATGTGTAGCTAGTATTTAATGGTAAGTAAATTAAGCATACTGTTAGGGTTACGGACGGGTAACACTGTAAAGGGCATTGCAACATAACTGCTCATCAAATTCAATAAAAAAATAAAAAAATAAAAAAAATAAGTTCGAGTTGTACTCGGTCGTCCGATTTTCTACTCGATTAATCAACTCGGCAGCCCAAACGAGTAATGATCGACGAACTCGACGAATCGGAACACCACTAATTAACATATAGGCAGTTATATAATATTTTAATGAATGAATAAGTTATGAATTAAAATGACGGAAACTCTTAGTCTTTGCATATTGTATGTACATTTCCCCCTCTCTATGTAGCAGGTGAAGCACCACGACCAAATTCAAACAGCAAGGCCATGCCAACACACACAATGAAATTTCCACCCCAAATACTAATGTCCTTTTCAACTTAGCCTGTTGGGATGAAAATAGACATGTATGTGTTGTGCTGATATGACATACCGGCGATAGCGTAAGCCTCTGTGGTGGGATTGTGCATGTGGCCATTCAAACCCATCACCTGCGCCTTTATCCATATTATTCAAATTCATGACCCTATGAAATAATTAATAATGATCATTATTATACTTGGTTGATTATAGCAAGCTCCCGTGTAAAAAAATGTGCAAATCATAAAGAACATTCGATGTTAAATGTCGAACCCAAATGTGTTTTACGTTTATAATAAAAATGAAACCATCATCATTGTTATCATCTTGACAAAAAATACCTGTCCTTGGACACAATCCTGTTGTTCTTTTCAAAAAACAAAAAAAGTTCATTTTCCTCGGTGTGACATACCGATGGTGATCATGTGAAGGGCTGTGTTGGGATGTTTCACTATTTGGCCACTCAAATCCATGATTTGTTCCCCTGTTATTCATTAATAATGATTATTATTATATCATAGTGTACATTGTATACCGTATTCAATAAAATATATATGGATCAACCAGTAGGTTTGAACATAAAAAGGCGTGCGCATGCTTATTTTCATGTACCAGAGATTTTTTAATCAATCATGTTTAAAATAAAAAATACTATATACAGTGTTCCTGTTTACCTTTTATATTAAAGTTACAGTAGAGTCTGTTAAGATAAAATATTCAGATAAAAATAGTTCTGTGTAGTGGACTGAAGTAACATACCGCCACGGTGTGTTGTGGGGATGGTAGCTACTCGGCCACACCAACCCATCATCATCATTGTCATTATCATCATTCCGATAATAATTATGTGTAGCTACCTGCCTGTATAATTATTAATAAGACCGTTGTGATACCGCTGTTTAACGAGAAAGCTTGCAGAGCACAACCTCTCTGGGTTGTCATTCAATTCATACTTGCCAAAAGAATGCCATGTTATGTTAAAAAAAATATAGAAAAAATACAACACGTTACATATTACATACATCAGAGTGAAGTAAAATGAACAATTGTTTTTATTCACCCCTGACCACATGTATGGGTACAATCTACCTTCCTACTTACTAGTATCTCTCTTACTACTGCTCTTACTACTTTCTACTTATATTGTTATGCAACTGTACAGGACTCTCATGTTTTAGCCATGCTTTTGAAAGATTTTGATAGATTTGGAATTATTGGTGTATGACACAGGAGTATTTTGGTGAGGGCTAATGCATACAAAGAACATCCCCACACAATAACGAGGAATATATATATGGGGATATTCTCTCCTTCGTATATTCCTTTGTATATATATACAAAGGAATATACGAAGGAGAGAATATATACAAAATAGGACCAAAATGTTTATATGAGAGTAATCTAGTGTGTATTGAGCTAATGCGACATACCAGGAAAAAAATCATTTTATTTTCACGGAAGCTCTCTTTCAAAATTTTACGGGAGCTATTTTGAGCCTCACGGGAGCGATTTCGGAGGTTTGAAGAGCGAATCGCTCATCGCTCCCGTCTATTTTTTACCCTGCGACATACCAGTGGTAACGTGATTGTCTGCGATGGGATGTCTCGTGATGCTGCACCTCTGATCCACGATCTGTCTCTGTCTCCCTGTTAATTATTAATAATTATTACTAACTGTTGTTCAACCAGAAATAAGGCCGGTTAATCGTGCGATCACAGACATTTTAAAATATGTCATGGTAAATTCGTGAGATTATATTTAATATCATATACTCGTACGAGATACAGCATAAGAAGGCAACGGACGATAAGTATGTGCAACACAAGGTTCTTTCACTGTTTGGCCTGCGACCTGATTCACGAGTCACTGATAAAAATTTATAGATTTATTTATAGAAACTTTTTAACCAAGACGGCGAGATCATACAGGTCTCGGGACAAATCGTAACACAGCATCACAATCTCTTCTTAAACGAACAACTGACAACTTTTGCATGGTTACAGTGACCATGGATTATAGATACCTGTTCTTGTTTGGACCAAGCCACGGTCGCATGGCTACAGCTACAGCCATGCCACACAGACACACAAGGATGAACACGATACACAATCTCATTGTAGCAGGAATTCCTTCTGCAAAGCTGCGGAAATAAATAAGTTGCCATTAGACCAAAACAAAATATGTGTGGTTACCGTTACATGCTGGAAAAAAAATAGGATAGGTAGGTAGGGAAAACATTTTATTTTCTTGAAATATTTTATTTACGAACCATGTCCGAAGGATGTGCGTTGTGCCTTTTGAAGCAGGAACTGACCAATTAATTTTTTTTTTAATTATTTTTTTTTACTTTAAAGAAAATTGACAATTAAAATGTTTAGGGTCGCTGGGAATAAATAGGGTCGGTCGGGAAACCGTAACCACACCTATATTTTGTTTTGGCCTTACCAAAAATTCAGCACAATCTTGCACTAGCTCTCATTCTTGCTCTGTTTCCCTCATTCTTCTCTCTCCCCCTCTCCCCTTCTTCTCTCTTTCTCTAGTGCTCTGTCTTTGATCTCTTTCTCTCTCTCATGCACGATCCTTTCCTCTCCTGCTCTCTTTTTCTTGTGCTTTACTTCGTACTCTTTCTTTCTCTCCCCCTCTATGCTCAAATGCTTGCATTCATCCGTAATTACAACATATACATAATAACACTTACACAACTATGAGTTGCCCGTGTGATTATCTTGAAAAAGCATCTCACGGACTACAGCTCGAAATCTGCACACAGTGGTCACTTACCCAAGGATGGACTAAAGTATCTCTGTTTGCTGGCTGGAATATCGAACTTCTTCCTCAGCTGGCCCCAATCCGCATGCTTTATGGGTTAAGTCCCGGATGTATTCCCTTTATGCGTGCTGCATCCCACCCACAACGCATGTCTGCCGTGTCTCTATCGCACATCCTGTTTATACTGATATGAGAAGGTACTTGCTAGACCAAAAAAATATGGTAAACGGGGTGAGGGTTGAAGAGAGAATATATGGATAAGCACGCGGATGAGATTTTGTTTTCCGAAGTTTTTTTTCTGCAACATTTTATCTCGCGCTATCTATTGCTTTTTTTGTTGTTTATTTGAATGCGCATCAATTACCATTTTTACTGAGAATGAGTATAATTTTTTGGTAACCTCATCCACATAAGAGTTGCACTTACATTCTATTCGTTTGCACCTCTCTTGGAAATTTCATGTCAAGTTAAATTATATATTATGAAGACAACTGGAAAGTACAAATGATATATTGTATTATAATGGAATATATTTCTCGCAAGTGAAATGGTTGGTTTCTGGGATTAGTTAATTGCTGCCTTGATTTCATTATTGATTCATTACACATTTCCCAACATGTACGTATCATATTTGTTATTTCTATCTGGACGTGTGCGGTGCAAAGCAGTAAACATGTTTGCACTTGTTACTTTTATCTTTTGCACAGGAAACGTCTGGAAGAAAGGCAGGGGAAAGGATGTAGGAGAGTACTGATAGCAATCTGCAGTCAGGCTCATGCCAGTAGGAATAGCCTCACAATTTATTTCCCGCTACGTGATTTAACATGATAGATCAGGATTCTCCCAAAGAATTTCAGAAGGCATCACATTTATGGACGAATAGGGACAGGGCCTGGGAGAGGGATGCACCAATCGAAGTCAATGATGCATATGTCATAAGTGACCCCATGTAAACTCGATCCGTATAGAGACTTATACATCTAGATGTGAAAACATAGCAGGACTGTGTTAGGATTATCAAAGGAAAACACAGTTGGAAATTATGGCATGCCAATTAGGCAATTAAGGCATGTTAGAGGATTTATAGGGATGTCACGACTTAGCTTCAGCTTTGAAGGCATATGTCGGACCCGGCATGCGTTAAAGGCCTGGGGAGACTCCTGCAGCTGATCTGGCTGCATTTACACTGCAGTTCATGCTACTGTGTAATCACGTGCCCACTAAACAGTGAATGACTCACTCAAAACACAAAGTATACAACTATGTGCGGTTTAAAAACAGATGCGAGACATGACCTCGATCCCGATTTTATTTGCACTTGGCAATCGGACAAACTGATACCAGATCATTTATACCAATGCATTTCCTGTACTACTAAAAATCATGATAAATAGACAAAAGATCTTGGAAAGTAGTAGTGGCTACTGAATCTTTCCTACCCCTCTCACTTTCATTTAGGCATGTGCTAATTACCAGAAAAAAATACTATATGCCTTAATAATTTCCCTTATTATTCGACCTGTCCCGATATCTAATAGTTTACAGATTACTCAAAAATAGTGTCAGCTTTCCGTAACTATTAACATAACACTGTATGTATCTCACCAACTTATCTCGATGACAAATATCTTAAAATAACCCTAGCTAGCAAAGCTAGTACAAGTACGAGTACACTTATCTGAAGTACATGAAGTTTAGATGAACTACGGTCGTCTGCACATTGTCTCACTTGCCCATTGGATTGAACACTTGGCTGGTCTTCTTTCTTGAGAACCTGGAAGCAAATCAAAAATCAGTTTATTTAAATTTCATCCATTAACATGACATGTTTTGGTATCAACATGCATTGCCATGTACATCTATGCGACTGTATGTATAAGAGTGATTGAGTTTTATATGAATGTGGAATTACAATTGACGGTGAATAAAACTACTGCACTGTTGAATTTCTCTTATCAAATTTTATTCACCAGCAAAGTTTCCCAACAATCCCACAGGGTGCTCACAGCAGCAGGGAAGAGCCGGCGCGACCCCACAGGGCGCACACAGCAGGGAAGAGCTGGCACAACCCCACAGAGTGCACACACAGCAGGGAAGAGCTGGAACAACCCCACAGAGTGCACACACAGCAGGACCCACAGAGTGCACACACAGCAGGGAAGAGCTGGAACAACCCCACAGAGTGCACACACAGCAGGAAAGAGCCGGCACAATCCCACAGGGTGCGCGCAGCCAGGAAGAGCCGGCCTAACCCCACAGGGTGCGCGCACAGCAGGGAACAGCCGGCACGATCCCACAGTGCGCACACAGCAGGGAAAAGCCGGCACGACCCCTCAGAGTGCGCCCACAGCAGGGAAGAGCGAGCGGCCGAGCACCTTCGCCACGCGGCGTACCTTCAGGCCCGACACCCTGCCCTTGACGAGTGGCGCGGCGACGGCTGGCCGGCCCGCGTCCCGCAGCACGCGTCCGCTCAGGTAGTGCTTGCCCACCGTCACTATCTCCACATCCAGCATCCTCCCCATCAGTCGCTCGTCACCGGGGACGATCACCTGCAAAACGACAGGTCGACGGTGCGGTTGACGATTGCTCGCCACATGAGGGAGTCACTGCTGCTCGGGCGTTCCCCGGTTCACGCCGCCGCGTTTCGATTGGTCGCGCTTTCATTTCAAGTTCATTTTCCGACAGGAGATCGAAATGCAAAACGGGAAAGAAGCGTGTGGAGGTGTTGAGGGACTATGAGGAGGAGAAAGAGGTGTAGGATGAGAAGGAAAAAAGATGTGGAAGAGAATAAAGGTAGAGGAGCGATATGGAATGGAAGCTGGGGCAGGAGAAGGAGGGATGAGGAGGAAGAGGAGAAGGAAGCAGGAGAAAAATAATTACAGGAGCAAAGTTGAGAAAATTCTAGGTACTCGTAAATACTAATAATAACTATAGATGGTCACAAACAATAACATTGACAAACAATAATATTCACCTGCTCGTAAAACTTGTTATGCCCCACAAAATTCTTCTTGTCAAATGCCACCTCTGTAACCAAAATCCTTTGCTTTTCTCCTACCTGTAGCAGTTATTAACACTGAACATGCAATATATAATGAAAACGTGTTAGAATTAATAGTTTATTTAGTGTGATTTTCTGTAAAATCCATAACAAATACAAAGAATTTTAACAAATTATATCTACCACCATCATCTAGAATGAAATGACTGAGAAGAAATCACCCTACTATTTAATTTAGTTTTCATATAATAATACAGACACAAAATTCAAAAGCAATATCAAATTAAATGTATATATGCGATACCTTGTGGTCGTAAGGTCTATACGACTGGAAAAGTTCAGATATAGCCTTGGTTCTTTTCTTGATCTCCTGAGCTGGAACCTGACGCATTTTGGATGCCGGTGTTCCAGGCCGTGGGAAGAACTGATTAATGAAGAGGCTGGGAAACCGGTACTGCGACACAAGATCCATTGTCTCCTTAAAATCCTGAAATTTATTCCAACATGGTTCATTCCATACAGACGTGTGAACCAATGTTATGCAAAACAGATAAAAAAATACCATTTTAACTAGAGTGAGAAAGAGATCATGAAAAAGGGGGTGGAAAGAATAAGCAATGGAGACAAAAAAGGGGAATAAGAGCTAGGAGTAAATAAATAGGATATAAAAGCAGACACATATCTTACCTCCTCAGTTTCAGTAGGAAAGCCACATATTACATCTGTAGCAATTGTGATCCCTGGAACCCTGAGATGCAAACAGAGCCAATCAATAAACCAATAAATCACATCATAGTTATTCACGCACTAATTATCACAACAGCACAATAATGTAACGATATTCTCATCAAACCTTGACATCCAACTTGTGAATATCATGTATTTCGAGTTATTCATCAAATCATCAAAGTACAAAGCATTTACATTTACCGATCACCATCAAAACAGAACGATTAACAAACTTTCAGCACTCCTAGCCACACACTGTTCCATCGACCTCATCACTCATCTACTCACCCAAACACTTCCCCAACTACCCCTTCACCCACCTCCACATCCACTCTGCCACCCAAACACTTCCCCAACTACCCCTTCACCCACCTCCACATCCACTCTGCCACCCAAACACTTCCCCAACTACCCCTTCACCCACCTCCACATCCACTCTGCCACCCAAACACTTCCCCAACTACCCTTTCACACACCTCCACATCCACTCTGCCACCCACCCAACTCTCCCCCTATTCCTCAACACATACCCATCCAACTCTATATCCACTACCTCCACCCACCTACCTTTCTACCTGCTTCTCCACCCAACTTCACACATATCCACTCCCCCAGCCAGCTCTCTACACACCCCTCCACCCTGCCCCACCGCCACCCTTCCATCCACTATTCCTATTTCTATTCCACTATTCTACCTTCCCCCTATTCTCAATCCCCACCCTACACTCTTCTCCACCCACCCACCCTCTTCTCTAACCACCCCACCCTTCTCTCTAACCACCCCACCCTCCTCTCCACCGACCCTACACTCGTCTCCACCCACCCAACCCTCCTCTCCACCCACCCCACCCTCCTCTCCACCTACCCCACCCTCTTCTCCACCCACCCTACCCTCCTCGCTGACCACCCAACCCTCCTCTCTAACCACCCCACCTTTCTCTCCACCCACCTCTCCCTGAGAAAGTCAACAATCTGGCAGAAGTCGTCGCGGCAGTACTCCCGCTTCATGTCCATCAGCACAGAGTCGCTGGCCGATTGCACGGGCACGTGCAGGAACGCGTACACGCGCGGGTGATTCAGCACGGCTGCCATCTCCTGCAAGCACACACACACAGCTGGACAATTATTCTTCACTCCGGCTCACCGAGCGGCGTATACAGACTTCTGTGTATAGTTGGATCGAGATTTGATGTATAGACGTATCGATATTCTATGTATAGTCATACCAATATTCTGAGTATAGATGTATCGATATTCTGAGTATAGATGTATCGGTATTCTATGTATAGATGTATCGATATTCTGAGTATAGATGTATCGATATTCTGAGTATAGATGTATCGATATTCTATGTATAGATGTATCGATATTCTGAGTATAGATGTATCGATATTCTGAGTATAGATGTATCGATATTCTATGTATAGATGTATCGATATTCTGAGTATAGATGTATCGATATTCTATGTATAGATGTATCGATATTCTATTATTGACATCGATATTCTGAGTATAGATGTATCGATATTCTATGTATAGATGTATCGATATTCTATGTATAGATGTATCGATATTCTATTATTGACATATCAATATTCTGAGTATAGACGTAATGATATTCTGAGTATGTATTTGACGGTTCAGTTTGTTCCCGGGTTAGACATGAGAATCGCTGTCGATGGCAAAGTAAGATGATCAATGCTGATGTAAGGGTCTTGCAAGTTTTACAGAGACAGATATAGCTTGAGTTTGAGCCAGCTATGAGACGAAAGTAAATTATTAAGTCACGGTTTACCTCTAGGTGTTCCAATATGTAGGGAGGGTTTGTCATTCCTATTCTCATCATTGCACCTTCTGGTATCGTTTCCACCAACTTCCACAAAAGGTTAGGTAATGTCACACCTGACAATTCCAGAAACAAAAGTGTAAATAGCGATCGTGGCCAGTTCCAAGAATACAATATGAATAAAAGTACAGATAAAAATACACCAAAATTTAGTATACAAATCAAATCTAATACATTACCTATATCTTTTCCATATGCGCCAGTATCTTCAGATGTAAGCCATATTTCACAAACACCCTCTGTATTCAAAAGCGTGGGAAAATTCATAAATGAACATAACTAGACATTAACATTACATTAACAGAAACATTACGGTACTGTAAGTTTTATCTATACCAAGTTCAAAAAGATTTAAACTTCTCTTACATAAAAAAACATTTCGTGATTTGGTATTTACTAAAAATGTTTTTTAAATGTTTGAAAACTGTCAATGGTCATTTTCTTATAACTGTTCATGTAATGCAATAAGTATCATAATATACTCTTAAATTGTAGACTAATGTTTCCTTTTTATGAGAAAAAAACTGCCGAACAGCGATAATGCAAAGTATCCTAACACATACCATCAAATGACTCTTTTGCTCTTGCTACTAAATCGTCTATTGGGTAGCTGCCTAGGTCACCTCTAGCATGTTTTGTTTTACAGTATGTACACTGGTTTAAACATCTGAAAGAACATGAAGCCACCAAATCATATTCAATGCACAGATGCACGCACACACAACCGTATGTTATATTTCATATGCTTACATTCATATACAGCTAATCAAACAGCTATTATTCTGTAATCGTGATTAGCAAATATGCAATGTTCATATAACATCATAAGAAACTACTCCAAGTTAAACATGCAGGCCATTTCAGATATACTTCATGGCATCATATTTAACACACTGAGGGTTCTCCCTAGGAGTTTCAGAAGGCAATTTCCGTGCAATCAGGCAATTCATCTGTGGTTGCTAATTGGAGTCAATTACGTATTGTATTGTAAGCGGCCCAATATAATCAGAATACTGGTAAACTCGATCAGTTGGGACTTCAATACATCAAGCTGTGCAAACACAGCATGACCATGTTGCTATTGCCAAAAGTACAAATGGCTAGATATTAATACATGCAAATTAAGCAATTAAGGCATATCAGAGAAATAATTAGATGTCACAAATTAGCTTCAGCTCTGAAGGCAGGTCGGTCCTGACAAACGTTAAAGGCCTGGGAAGTAGCCTGACAGTGTTAGTAAGAAACATACCCTGTATTGACAGCCAAAATCTCGATCAACGGATTTCTCCGGATCTTTGGGAGGTCTAAGCGAGCTCCACCTGATTTCTTACCATCCTGCTTTTTCTGGCCAAGCAGCCTAACTGAATTACCTAAAGCGAAAGCACAAGTAAAGCATAGAGGTGATACGTTATTGACCGCGTACGGACTGATAGCACCAGACCAGAGATAAGAACTCGAACCGGGGTGAGGAATAATGAGTAAAAGCCATGTCTGTTACGAGAGCTATGACACACCCTTCAGTGTTTCCTCGACCACTTCCACAACCCTGTCGATTTGCTGCACACCGACTATTGACAGACCCTTCATGTAGCTGACACGGGGAGCAGCTTGTGGTACACAACCAGCAACCTGTATAATAATAATAATAATAATAACGATAATAATAATATAATAGTAATAAAATAATGTTATAATTATATAATAATGATGATATTATTATTATCGTTATTATTAAAGATAACAATAATCTAAAATTACCTCTAAAATGGTGAAGCCGTATATGCTATATGCTACTTACAACAACGTGTTTCTGTTTTTTGTTGGCTTCTGTGATCGCATTTCTAAAGTGATCTTCTGCAGGACTTTTCACTGTACAGCTATTCAACAGCCAGAGGTCAGCACTATCTTTGTGATCTGTAAAAAAATCAAACAGATGTTTGGACCAAACCTATAGGACATTTTATGTAAAGAGCATACCTCCTATAGCCACTATATATGAAAATATAGAAGCAGGGTGGTCCACAACCTAAAATTCAAACATGTAAAACTGGGAACTTTAGAGGAGTACTTTAGATATTATTTGAAATTATGTGCGCGAAGCACACATCACGAGCGCAAAGAGCGAAGACACTTGCGGCCGGGGTCCAGGACCCGCCTTAGGGCCCTGGAAACTCAGGGGTTTTAGATGCTCTCTGGTGCAATCTGAGCCTTATTTTGGAGCATTTTTGCTCAAAATTTATGACCTATATTTCAAAATAATTTGGGTTGAGTCAAGAGTCATGAGTGATGAGTCATTTTTCATTGTTCAATTTGTATACTAATGGGAATGTAACCAGTCAAATGTTATAAAGCAATGTGCGAAAAATGCAAATAAATATACCATAAGGTGAAACTATATTTCGCTATATTTTATTCGGATTGAGCGCCGATACAAATGTCAACTTGCCAGTGATAGTGTAACCATAGCTAGCCAACTGTCCTGCCATGTACTCTCCATCCGAGTTATTGTGGGTGCAGCCCCAAGTTCTCACCCATATTGTCTGTCTACCTATTAATACATATAATTGATACAAAACGAAATATTCAATTCATTCATATATAATACGCATGCACTGCAGGTATTAACAGGCAGATTTGCAAAATGTTAGGTAAACATGTTTGCTTGGCTACATTAGATTACTGTATACGCCCCATTTTTCGCGTACCTGCAGATATTTTTGCGAATTCACTTGACAGACAATTTCGCGAGTGGCTAATTTCGCGGTCGGTGAATTATGAATTATTCGGTATTATTCGGTATGAATTATTCACGTGTTGTTATTTTCGCAGTCGGGGACGCGTTCACAAAATTTGTGAAAATTAAACCACCGCAAAATATACAGCGTATACAGTAATTATTCCTTGTCAATTTATTCATGACTGTATATAGGCAAAGTATATTGACTGTATTATACATTAAGTATAATGTGTACATTGAGTACACATTGAGTATAATGACTGTATATTATACTCAATTAATACTGTATATTAGGCAAGTATAGCTAACCTTGATAATGGACATATGTCCATTATCAAGGTTAGCTCTACTTGCATAGCTCTTTGCCCTGCTCCAAGAATCCTTCCCTCTTCAACAGGCAGTTACGAAGCAAGGGAATGTACGGGTAGCAGGGCTCTCCCTAGCTCTAGAACTATAGCCTTTCGCTATGCCACAGGGCTATAGCACAAACTATGTTGAATATGGGCAATGATACTGCTCCCTCTGCTGCCACGAAGAACGCATCACAGAAAAAACTAGGGCAGCCCATTACTCATGGGGGTGTGGGTATAGCACTGGTGCTGATACAAGGTTGCCAGGCAACATATGTTTATGTTTAAAAAGTGCCAGTTCACTCCCTTGAGTAAGGGTAATGCTATCCCACGGGCGTAGAGGGAGGTGACCGCAATGTGGCAGCACTAGTGTTGGGATAGTGTTAGGATTAGGGTTAGGGTCAGGGTTAGGGTTAGGGTTAGAGTTAGGGTTAGGGTTAGGATTAGGGTTAGGGTTAGGGTTAGGATTAGGGTTAGGGTTAGGGTTAGGATTAGGGTTAGGGTTAAGGTTTTTGCATCATGATATCTGTCCCCACACCATAGATTAATTTTTGTGGATCATAATGCCTATATATAGCGCGGCGACACATATATATTTAGTGTGAGTGTTAGTGTTGGCGGTGTTGGAGTGAGGGTTACCGTTAGGGTTAACGTTTTGAACGTCATCGCCAACGTTATCACGTGACCTCCCTCCACGCCCGTGGGATAGCAACACCCCTTGAGTAATGGGCTGCCCCGTGCTTTTGCCAGCATTTGGACGGAATTTGCAAGTACTAGTAGGGCTAAGACTTTGATGAATAAATAAATAAATGCATGGTGTAAAGTTGTGAAGTTTTCAAAAAGATAGGTAATTAAACATGCGCGTCTAAACAGAGGAATTGCTCCGACCTGTGATTGGAGGATAAAAATAGAATTCGTGACGTTTCGTTTTCGTTTTGCATACCCCGCCGCATACGCTATTATATGCTATGACCGGTAGGAACGTGTACTAACTATCATATGGCGCGAACGATTCAAGTTACATTGCTATAAATTCTAGCTATTAGAGACACTTGTTAGCCTTAATCTCTGTGAGTCTTGAGTTTATTGAAGAGCGATTAGCTTAATTAATTAGCAAATATGTACGCGCGGTATCGCTCATATACTCGAGTCATAGGCTAAATGCCAAAATGAAAACGAAACGTCACAAATTCTTTTTGATCCTCCAATCACAAGTTGGAGCATTTCCTCAGTTTAAACGCATGTGTAATTAAGGCTGATAGGGTCTATGTCTCCATGCGTACTGCCGGAACGTAACCTGGGTACGGTCCGGTATACCGGAACGTACCCTGGTAACTATCTGATATGGCCCAAAGCAAGAAAGAGACGGGAAGACCCAATCGAATGTCAGAGTGGGAAAAAGGATGTAGATAATATACCGATGGTAGCACGCGATAGGTTTGCGGACAGTCACATCAGCAGTATTATACCAGGTTTTGCTAGCTTTTTATTTATTTCTTAGTAATTTTCATTATGCCGTGGGATGTTTCAGCTTTGAAATCACGTCATACCTAAATTAAGTATCAACTTCAAGGATGAACTGATTCTAAACTAATCTGGGGTGCTAAACTAGGCTTGTGCCCAAATTAATGACCCTGGGAGAGCTTATAGTGCTCCCTCTGCTCCCGCGAGGAAGGCTCACAGAACGCAAAATGGAGGGGCTTTTTAACACTTATTTATCTACATGGACCTTGATCCTTGATCAGAGCTCCTGATGAGCCATAGTGGACTCTCGTACTGTAGCTCCCGTATATAAAAAGCCTGTCACACTTAGTATTGACCTTATAATTACGCTGCCAGGGGCTATGTCTCCCTGGGTACTGCCGGAACGTACCCTGGTACTATCTAATATGCCGGACCGTACCTCGCCTACTCCACTAACGAGTCTATAGGGAGTCGCCTACGCCTACTTCCTAACACTAACCCTAACCCTAACCCTAATACAACTTGCTTTCTGGATTCATAGCGATCATTTGGAGTTAAATCGAAAAGTCCTACTATATCTTCTATGTCATCTATTTCTGTGTCGCAATGATGTGATGGCATCTTGGCAACGTAGACCAAACTTTCACACTAATGTATTTTTATGTATTGCTGTTTATATATATATATTATATCATCAGATCGAAACCTAGCTGTTTTAAGTGTTTATTTTGTTTTGAGCAAACCATTTGTAGGGAGGCGCCATATTCAATGAACTACAAGGATATATAAGGCGATGAAGATGATTGGTCATGTACTTGTTACGCCACACGCGCCATTTTGGATCAAAGTTTTACATCACAAAAGTCATGTGTGTGCGTCTGAAGCTCATAGGGTCTATGTCCCCTAGGGTACTGCCGGAACGTAACTATCTGATATGGTTAGGGTTAGGGAATTAGGGTTAGGGAGTAGGCGTAGGCGACTCCCTAGACTCGTTAGTGGAGTAGGCGAGGTACGGTCCGGCATATTAGATAGTACCAGCTAGGGTACGTTCCGGTATACCGGACCGTACCCAGGGTACGTTCCGGCAGTACCCTGGGGAGACATAGACCCTCTCAGCGCGTCTGAAGTTATGAACCATAGAAATAATATAGATAACCTGCATGGTATATGGAAATAAGGTTATCTATATTATTTCTATAATAAGGCATTAATTTTTATGCATGTGTATTTATTACTCCCTCTTTATTTATTTTTATGCATTTATTTATGTGTAATTCCTAATCTAGTGCTGTAGTAATATAGTGCTAAGCAGCTAGTGCAGTAGCTAATGTAGTGCTGTAGTAGATTTAAGTGCTCTGGTTGAGCTGTATTCTATAGTTCATATAATATAATGTGGGGAAGCGATGGAGAGAACTCTCTTATTCATGTTGTTTGTGCACGCAACACTGGGCGGGCGTGCGGTGTACTTGTGTGTTGCAGATGAGCATT